ATGTATCATTTCATTACCTGCCTAGGCCATGGCAAAATTTGGCCTCTGATGTTCTTAACTGCAATATAAAATATTACTTAAATATTTAGTTGTTCAGCACAATATGAGACACTGCCCATGAATTACATTGACTAAGTAGATCAACAGCTCCAGTGTATTTTTTTAGTACTGCAAAAAACTGCCACAGTATTCATACAATATTAGAAATGCAGAAAGACTATACACTTATTAAGTGGCAGGTAGTGCCTCTGTAATATTTTCATATTAATGCTTATGGCAGGTGTTTTCTTTAGTTCTTGCATTTATAAAAGCAGCATGTGTCCTTCAAAGAGCTTTTGAATTAAAATCCACTCTTAACAGCAAACCCTTAAGAACCTGAATTCTGATAAAATTACTGACATATAAAACCACAATGACTTAAAGTAAGTTTTAAGGACAAAGATGAATTTCTTCTTGTGAAGTGCACAGATGAGAGCTACTTTGTGCTTCATCTGCTTTGTTTCCATCCATGCAGCCTTGTATTTTGTGGTGTGATGAGCTGGACTTCCTGTGCCTACACCTTGACATTCCCCTCAAAATCGTGACTAAATCTTTAATCATTCATTATTCAACAAAATACTTCAACATGAGAACAGACATATTCTGTCTTTCAAGAGCTCTCAACAGCCTCCAGATACTCGTTGATTCATTTAACAAGCCACAGACAAAGTAAACATCTGCCTAATGATTCAAGACTATGAGATTCCCTATTGTGGGAAACACTGAGAAAGCCACGGTGAATCAATCCCGGGATATACAGCGCAACAGGACTTTCACAGGCCCGTCAGTGACAGCCTGTGGCATGAACCATTGGGTGGGGCTACTAGAGATAGACAGCAGCTCAAAACCAACAGTACTCTTTGAAACTGGCCCAGGCTAACTGTCCTATAATCAGTGTCACAGCTCCAAAATTGACTCCAGCAACAGCATGCTGCGCATTGGACCCACCTCCACCAGAAGAAAACCAGGGACTGATAAATCACCTCAACTGCACAAGTGAGTCCAACCTGCCATGCCTTTATGAGAAGTAGTAGCTAATTTATCAGTTCTTCGCTCTCTTAGATTATTTAGCACTGTGACAGAGAACCACTCACGGAGATAATGGTAACTACGTGAGCTTACAAAGTTTACATGGTGTCACCAAGACACATTAGCTAAAATACTTTTTCATAAACACATGCATCACAAATAACCGTGTGTTGGTGCTTCCACTCTTATCCTGTGCTCCTTTATCCTTAGTAGCCCAACGTCTGTTTATTTTGGCACCTATTTCTTTCTTCTGAAGTAACATGTTGTCATGTCATTGCATTTCCAAGGCTAAGATTTGTATTTTCTATACAGCTGATGGACCTCTCTGTCCATTTTATGTATACCAACCTTCCCACACTTAAACATATGAGCCTCAGAGCAAGCAACAAGCTCCAGGCACCTTGGTGAACCTGCAAATTGACTTTCATTCTGTGCTGAGTCCTTCAGAACCAGTTTTTGGTCAGTATTTGTGATCACTTGATTAATAACACCTGCCTCTAAGGATACCTCTGTCATAAGAATGCCTTCAACCCAAGAAGGGCATTACAACGAGTAGATAAAATTTACATAATTGGACTTTCTGCACAGCAAAGAGGGAATACCTCAGTCTTTGGAGTGAAACATTTGATTTCTTTTCATGATTGAAGTTTAATAAAGTAACATTAAGTAACAGGAGCAAAGAACCACTGTGAATCAGTAAGCAGTGAGAACTGCTAATGAATAAAACAAAATACATTTTTGTTTCTACATATTAAAGTGTCCATGTGCATAGTATTATAAACAGTTACAAGGAAAGCTGTAGCTGAGTTTCTTCCCTGAGACCGTGTTGCTTATTTCAGATGTTGCATCCAGGTAGAGTCAGCGATATCAGAAAGGATATAAACCTGAAGATTTTTTTCTTTTTAGGACAACTCGCAGAGGTGATTTGAAAAATCAAGATGTAAGCAAAGATGATAGTATCTGAACACTTAACAGACAATATATATTCTTCTCATACACTTTTATGCTTTGTAAATTAAAAGAAGTAAAGAATAAAATCATACTTACAGTAAAAACACCTTTAATACTTTTTTATTATTTGAGTGGAAACTATTATGCATTATATGATATTTGGATTTTTTTTTCTATTTCAAACAGAACCGTTGTTGTTTTTTTTAACACATCTACAGATTACTTCTCATTCAGTCTTTCAAATTTACAGAACACACAACCATAATACTATTACTACATTTGTTTTTCTATAGGACATCAAGATGTTTTAGACTTAAATTGAGTGAACATAAAATATGAAACTTGTGTGGATAGACTACATATATATATATGTACGTATGTATGTGTGTGTGTGCTTCATGTAGATGGCACACTGAAATTCCAGCAATATTTAATGCAGTAAGTGGACAATTAAATATTGATATTTCGAAGAGAGATAATAAGAGCTAGGAAACACTCTTCAGTAAGAGGTTTATTATTGTACATCACACTAATTGTTCTATAATATATTCAAAAGACTTTTGATCATTATGCCCAGTAATGCACCTCTTTCTCTAAAATTTAGAATTTTACAAAAGAAATAAACCTACAAAACTGAAAAAATTCTCTTGCTTCATGATAACTGCATTTGATTGAAACAGATCAGGCATTTTCTGGTTTGTACACTATTCTAAAAATTCTTCACTGCCTGGCTAGAAAATCAAGAGGCATGTGTGTCTGGAGATTGTGTCACTAATCCACTAATAAAAGTCCTCTGTAAAGTGATGTTAATGAAGAACTTTTCTGTGCCACTTGGACATAGGAAGTACAGGAAACACTGAAGATCCTCAAAAGTAAACACCTGGTATACTGCAAGTACTACTTCTTTGCATAATATTTGCTAGTTTAATGCTATCACATGATAATTCAATTAAGTAGCTAAGTGTTATTTCCTGTTACATGCCATTTTATTCACATTTATTGACATTTCCTTTAGCTAAAACCCACTTGCAAGCAAGAATCCATTTTCTTTGTTTGCTCCAGGCTTTTTTTTTTTCTGCAAAAAGTTTGGTGGGGCATGGCAAAAATCTTTCTAATTCTGAACATGGACTTCTTTCATGACGGCTGTGAAAATAAATCATCATGAAATAATTACACAAACCACTAAATTAAAAGTGGTACGTACAAAATCACTTGAAAATTAGACATGTAAAGCACCAACACAGGAAGGCTATGTGAGTGAATACGCTTTTCAAATATGCCCATCACCTCAGTATCTTGGCTCAAAAGTCTTTTAATCTTGCAGTTACATACAACTGTCACAGATGGATAGAACATGTTTCTCATAACACAGCCTTCTGCATACCCCATTTATGTGCTTCACCCCATGGAAATATTTATGGATAAATTACATTAATCCAAAATAATTGAAAAGTCTATATGAACAAAATACGAGATAAACCACGACTTTCTGCTAGAAATTAAATGTAACCATTGACTTTTGAAGTTGGAGTCCTCATGACCGAAAAGATGCTGCATTGTATAAAATTGTCTTAGCACTACAAACGTAAGTAAATAAAGATGTAACTTGTCTCCCTTTCAACTGCAACGTTAGAAAGGCTGACAGGGCTTCACAAAACCCTCCTGTGTTAGGGAACGGAAACTCCTAATGAGATTAGTTGGTGTGTGTGCAGACATTACTTAGCCATGACTAAATGGGCTCTCTTCCTGCAGCCAGTGGAAAATTCAGGGAACTTTTTCCCCCTGCAGCATCAGAGTCCCTCTAACCTTCAGTAAAGCCAGATCCAACAACAACTCTCCACTTTCTCTCCCTTTCTCTCTGTCTCTATTTTTTCCTTCCCTCACAAACATTTTTTTGTTTTTTTTTTTTTTTCTTTTCAGTTGGTCGTGGAAACTATCCACGTCGGCCAAGGGGGTCTAGGGGCAGGAGGTGGCTAAGGAAAGCCGAGGGGGGAAGGGCCGGGGAGAAGGCAGAAGACTACAAAGGAAACTGTAAAAAGGAGCAAATACATAAACCTGAGAGGGAGAAAACCACAGAGTTTCTTTGTGAGCTGCAGTGACTCATTTTCAAGATGTTGTCTGCTGCCAGTTTCAAACCGGAAGCGCATGGCAATTAGTCTTGCTGTTTCCAGACAAGCCAGAAACTCTCCCGACACTTTTTTTTTTTTTCCCTTTTTAAAGCCCCTTCTGCAGTTTCTGCAGGGGCCTTCCCTTCCCTCCCCCCACGCCCTCCCCGGCCCCGCTCGGCCTCGCAGCGCCGCCGGGGACCCCGCGGCGCCCCCGCCGCCGTGACAGGCACCCTGGCGGCCCCCGCCGCCCCAGCGCCGTTACCGGGGAGCTGCCGGGACGGGGCAGTCCCGCGGCACCGCCGGCCGGGCACGGCCGGGGAGGGGGGCACGGTATGACCCGGCACCGCCGAGGGGCTGCGGGGCGGCGCGGACTCCCGGGGCTCCCCCAGACCCGCGGCGCCCCCCTCCCGGCCCTGCCCCTCCTCACACCCCGGGCCCTTCTCCCGCGCCCCCCCTCCCCGCCCCCCATACGCTCCGTCCTCTCACCTTCACCCGCAGCTCCCGGGGGGCGGCAGGGCCCCCGGGGCAACTTTCCACTGGGGCGGGGGGCCCCCGAGGCGGCGGGAGCCTCCTCCGGCGTCCCGCCCCGCCGACCGCCGCCCCCTGCCCCGTTACCGCCGCTGTGGCCGGGCCCGACCCCGGGGCAGGACCCCTGGGCTCCCCGGCTCCGAGCGGGGCTCCGAGCCCCCTCCCCGCGCTGCTCCCGGCGCTGCTCACCTCCAGCCCGCGGTGTGCCCCGCGGTGTCCCCGCCGCGCTCCCACCAGCGAGCGGGGCGCCGGCCCCCGCAGCAGCCGCCGGCTCCCCCTTCCCCTCCCCGCAGCCCCCCGAAACTTTGCGGGAGCCGGGGCGGGCGCAGCAGCACTTGTACCTACCCAGCGGCTGAGGGACTTTTCCGCTCTCTCCTGGTAGTTTAGAGGGAGCTGGGTAAAATCCCCCGGTTCTCCATGCTGACAGTCTTCTGCAGACGCTCTGTTGTTCTAGTAATGAGATCCTGATTTTTTTCCCCTTTTTTCTCTCTCTCTTTTTTTTGTCCCTTGGGCCGGTGCGTGTGTGTGTGTGTGTGTGTGTGTGTGTGAGCGCCTGCCCGTGTGAGGGAGCGAGCAGGAAGCCGGGGCAGTCAGACAGCGGCCCGGCTCACTTCCTCTCCCGCACTATTCCCCGGGCGGTTTGCAGTCTGTGTAAACAGCCTTTTCCTCCCCGCGCCCCTCGCTCTGGCCGTCGATGTGCAGCATGGCTGTAACACAAGACACACGCATAGTAACACGGGCAGCGGTAACTCCGCCGGCTCGCAGGGAGCTCCACGGCTCCCCCGACCGCCACCTCTTCCTGTGCTACACCCCTGGGAGGAGCTTCCCGCCGGCCGCCCCAGCTGCTTGGGACAAAACGGACCCGCATTTCCCCGGTGGACACCGGAGGGATGCTTCGGAACCCCTTACGAGGCACTGGCCCCTGGAGAGACAGTCACCTTTTCCCACCGTGCTGGAGCTGAGGTCACGGTGGAGGGGAGCATCTAGTTGGAGTCATTGGGGTCTGAGGGGTTGGGGGAGTGCAGTAGCTCACTGGATGCACTGACCGTTTTCCGAGCTGGACCTCACATAGATAGCAAAGTACATGAGCAGTGCAATATGGCCAACACCTTAAATTGAGGGAAATAACATTAAAAGTCACAAGGCACTCAAATCATAGAATCATAGAATGGTTGGGGTTGGAAGGGACTTTTAAGGTCATCCTGTCCCACCCCCTTGCAATAAGCACAGACATCTTCAACTAGATTTGGTTGCTCAGAGCCCTGTCCAACCTGAACTTCAGTGTTTGCAGGGATGAGCATCTATCACCACTCTGGGCAACCTGTGCCAGTGCCTCACCACTGGCACTGTAAAAACTATCCTCCTTGTATCTAATCTGAAACTGTCCTGTTTTAGTTTAAAACCATTACCCCTTGTCCTATCACATACAGTAAAATCCAAGCTGTATCTTCCAGCTCCACGTCATAGCTCAAGAGACAGACCAGTGGTAGTTTGCTGATTGGGATTTAGGTTTTGACCCTCAAGCTGCAGACCACAGATCTAAACTGTTAGTTTGGATTTACTAAAAGGGACACATTTCCAGTATTTGTAGTTTACATCAGTTTTGTCTTTTCTTGTGTCTCATATGTCTACATTGTGCTATTTCTCTAACTTTATTTGGAAATCCTCAGAATGAGTGACATTATCTTCTGTCTGCGTAGTACATCACTGACGTTCAATGAATAATACTTCAAAATCAATACTTTTTCTTTTAATAGTCATGAGATTTATCATCCCAGCACAATAACCGCAGTTAAGAATGTTCTTGACATGCAATGACACAGAAACGATGATAATTTTTTATCACTATTGGGTTGTTGCTTGCAATGTCATTGGGAACAAAAGTATGTTTTGATGAAGCTAAAGAGATTGTCACAGTTGACCACTAAGCAGCAGTCAATAGCATCTGAACAGCTGAATACGAGCAAATTCAGTCTCTTGTGGAAGTCCTTCAAGTTTCTTCCTTCTTGTCTTCCAACATGCCATGGGGGAGCGAGAATAACGTTATCAGCACATCAAATAATGTCATTTTGTTATTTTTCTTAAATCATTCCCTTTTAGAAGTCATTCTGAATTTCAGAATGCAGATCTGAGGTCTGCTAAATCCTCTTTTTGTGTTTCCGAAATAAAGAAGCAATAAAATGTTGAATGTGAGATAGTACATTTCCTAGATTAAAATGCACGGTGGATGAAGTCTTTGCTGTAAGTCAGTGGGATGCAGGAATCAATCTTTGGTTGGGAACTACAACTGAAGACCCAGTTTTGTAAAAGCAAAACAGTCAGAGAAGCTTTTACAGTACCAAAATGCAATGTTGGACTGACAATTGGGCATTCATCTTCTATATTTATCTTTCACTTGACCAAGAGGCAAAGCAGAGATAATCCAGAGTTGCCTTGACCAGTTATTGATGTGGAGATCTGAGAGAACAAACTTTCAAAACCAGTACAACTTATTTTCTTCTACAAAAAAGTGAATAACATTATGCCTTTAAAAATATTAACAAAATTTTTCTTTAATTTCCTGTGCTGTATCTTGGTTTACAGCACTAGATTTTTTTTTTTTACTTTTTTGTTTTGTTTTGTTTTTACAGCAGCAGCCCTTTTTTTGTTACAGTGAGATAAAAACCTAAATAAAACTGCCATGCTGGAAGTTGGATGACCACTGGATGAGGTGTCTTCATATTACCCTATGAAAGCTGGATTAAAAAGTGCAGAACTTGTTTAATGGAATGAAGCCACCAGGATGTGTTGGAAACACAAACAATTCAGAAAGCTCTGCAGGAACTGGAAGAAAATGGGAACTTTCGACCAGGGCTACTGATCCTAGCAATATGGATGTCATTGGGAAACTATTTTTGGAAACTGTCTTGATAAAAACACTGTTCTTTATGGAATGATTGCTGAAACTCTCTCATCTACGATATCTGCCTGGCTGAATTAATCTACACTTATAGTTATCCCTAAGAATTATCTGATGCAAAAATACAAGACAGTGAATGAGGAAAATTGCATTTTTTTATTGTGTAGGAGCTTTTTTCTTCTGCAAAAACAATTCCACTCAGAAAAACCTCTTTGTTGACATGGTCATAAAAATGGTAGTTATGTTTTTAGTAGAGTCAGTAGTCAACTTCTCTGTCTCAATTCACATCGATTCGTCAGCACATATAATAATTGCAACTGTTAACTGTAAAGCCTTAGTTCTGTCTTCAAGCTGTGAAGATCTGAGGGTTTAGCTTTGGAAATTGTTGTTCCTTGCTCAGAGTTGGTCCAGACAACAGCTGTTGCACTCATAAAGGACTAAATGTAACTAAGACAGCTCCCCTTCGACCAGTAAATCAGGTTACTGCTGCTGGAAGTTATCATCTGGTGGGTTCAGGCAATCCTTCAACAAACACTCACCCAGGATGTCTCTGTGTCCTGTTTACCTATGGACAGTGCAGTTTGTAGAAGAGCCTGTATTTATAAACCTCTCCTTTTGCTGAAAAAATTGCCCCAAAGCATTCCTAAGAATAGTGACTATAATTCTGCCTCATTTTTATTAGATTACATCAATTAAGAAACCAGGCTTTGTCTGTCTCTTCAGATTGTTTCTACTGCATTTTTAAACTGTTCATAAATCTCATGTGCTGCTGTAATTTAACAATCTAAAAGGAGGAAACAGAGAAATAAAGGTAGATTTGCTCTCCTCCAGATCTCTGTTTAAAGCTCTTCAGGCTGAGACTCATATCAATGTTGGTCTAGGTTTTAGTGTAATTTCACTCTGAGCCTTGAGACCCTCTGTAATTAAATTATTAAATTAAATTATATAATTGCACTGTCACTTTGCAGTATACAATTTTCCTTAAATGCACATAGATGCTTATAATCATGTGTAATTATCAAGAACAAAGTTGAAAGCAGTTGGAAATAACTTGTTTCATTTAACATTTTAATTGTGAATATATTTAATGAACGTATACATTGTTTCCTCCTCTCTAAACATTTTTTATTTGTTTCTAAATTACGGTCTCTGCAGCGAAGAGGCTTCAGATTTGTGTCTGCCTTTATGACAACTAACACAGTAGGTTCTGTGGAAGAATCACTTGTAACCATTCTTCTCTCTTACTTTCTAGAAATTTTACCTTGAATAACCACCTAACAGGTTACAGTAGGATTTCTAGGGAATATTGGAAACTGGGTAAATAGAAAATAATTACCTGAGTTGGAATGACAGCCTAATTTGTGTAGGATTCTTGGCTGCCCTTCCTGACATGTTATTTAAATATCTCGCAAATGTTGCATCAATACTGATGAATGTTCCTCTAGCAGGTTTGGCTTTTCTCTTTCACACTTTCCTGTTGCTGGAGAAGCACGGGCTTTAGAGCCAAGCAACCTAATTATTGCAAAAAGTCCTTGGGGATCCATACCACTCAAAAAGTGGTCAGGTACTCAGTATCTCATCACACAGGCAGCTTCACTGGCAAGAAAAGTGCAGTGTACAATACTGTACAGCACTACCTTCAGGATGTAACACTGACTCTAAACCTCAAGGGACCACACTGCACAGTGTTTCCCACAAGCAAGATTTCTTCCTGAGCTTTTTGCTGAGCTATCTAGAGTAAAATTGTGAGGTTTAGAAGAGGTGATGGCAAGACATCAACAGAACTGTGTTTGCTCTTGAGAAACCTCTTGGTCAAAGTTGGTTCAGATTAGTGGGGAAAACAGTTGCATGTCATCATCAAAAGGTTCAAAACGTCATGCCACATTTTCTAGAACAAAGAAATTCTGCAAATTTTAACCTAAAATGTTTCCTGTTACAGTCAGAAGGGCTAAGTGTTTCTTCACACCATGAAACATGTATAGTGTGCAGATGGTAGGACACTGGCAAGGAAGAGGCAGGCTCTTCTATTTTTCCTGGGACCTTTTTTTCCCCTCGGGGAACATGTTCTAGTCCCTCGTGACAGTCTGTGATGAGGATTACTGCTGGGTTGCAGTTAAAAATCTGCCCTCAGTCTTAAGAGAATGATGTTTCAGAGACCCCAAGGTTTTCCTTTTCTCCCCTATGCACCCCCGGAAGGCTGTGGTGCTTTATCAGGAAGGAGTGTTTGGGGGAAATGACTGCTTTTACACTCCTCTTCCTCTGGCACATTTTGCTTTCCTGAATGTTTTGCTTTCCCTGTGTGTTGTGGAAGAAAGCACATGACCCAACATGTTTCAAGTAAAAGCATCATTGCGCGTACACTTTCATTAGGTTTGCCTTCTTAGTGAAAGATTTATAAGGAATTACATCCTGTGTGCAGTGTGATTGCCTATGATTTTTTGTCATTTAAGGAATGTTGTGTCACTGTGGGTTGAAGGAGTCTAGAGCACCTAAACCAGCAAGCCGTGAAAACAGGGAAAGAGGATTCCAAGAACCATTGAATAATCATGAGGTCTAATCTAACTGCAAAGATTAACTATTTCAGAGGTCACCAGGCTTCTCTTAAATCTTCCAATCTGTTCTACTGCAATTTCTTTTCCAGGCTAATTACTTAAAGGCCTGAGCTAGAACTTAAGTTATATTTTATTGGTCTTTTTTTTTTTTTTTTGCCCGTGTCTCCCATCTGTCTATTTTAGCCTAATCTAATCTCTAAATAGAATGGATCCAGGGTAATTCTACTGCCAAATATCACCATAGCATCTGAACACTCTTAAACTGTTTTTACTCTTCTCAAATGCTTTTGGTCAAATGGAGCACAACTCACTGCCACTTCTCTTCAGCCTACACTAATTCTAAGATTTT